CCCCCACCAAAATATAAAATTACATATTTATAGTAAAAAATACCTGCAGTACATTTTTATATAAAAAATTCAAGCAAAACTTTCATACAAAAAACAGATATTGAAGTTAATGATATAAATGGCGAGAATCTAGCTACGCAAACAAATTTAATAACTTGCATTAACCCCGAACCTGTATATGAATGTCATGATCCCTGTTTATAAATTCCAGTTGCATAAGGTTTTTTTAATTTTTTTTACAAGCTTTCATCTGTGCATATATTATTTATATCATTAACTTCAATAAATGTTTTTTTATGAATGATTCATGTAATATATATATATATATATATATATATATATATATATATATATATATATTGAATCATGTGAATCATATATATATATATATATATATATATATATATATATATATATATATATATATATATATACATGAATCAAATGAAAACTACAGACAAAAGTTCATTTTCTTCTGTAGTTTACTGCTACCAACAAGCAGAAATATTTCTTCTCCTGATGATGCCCATTTTGGCCGAAATTAGTCGAGGAATCTAAATGAAATAATAATAAAAAAAAAACGAAAGACTATTAATCTACAACCCAGTGTATCTGAAGATTTTAATTTTTTAATATCTTTTTTATTGTTCAAAGTATATATATATATATATATATATATATTACCAAAAATACATATATGTATATTACCAACAATACATTTTATATCAAAATGACCAACAATAAATTTTATCTGTAAATAAAGCCATAAAATTGTGTTCCAAATATTTAGATTTCGCCATTCAATAACCCATAGAGGTGTTGATATGCAGCTAAACAAAATCAGTCAATCATTTCTTTCTTTCTTTCTTTCTTTCTTTCTTTCTTTCTTTCTTTCCTCCTTCCTTCCTTTCTTTCTTTCCTTCCCTTCCTTCCTTCCTTTCTTTCTTTCTTTCTTTCTTTCTTTCTTTCTTTCTTTCTTTCTTTCTTTCCTTCTTCCTTTCTTTCTTTCTTTCTTTCTTTCTTTCTTTCTTTCTACTTCTATATTCTTTCTTTCTTTTTTATTTCCTTCTTTCTTTCCAACAAAACCAAATCTTTACATGTTTTTGCACCTCACTGATGTTAATTTTTTTTTAAGTCCTAACCCATCCCAACCCTGCATAGTTGAACGTCCACCCACACACACCTTCTTGGGTACCAGCTGGCCTAAGGCACGTGCCCATCACCGTTTTAATTTTTTCTTTTCCGACGCCGTCTTGTTGGGGACCGTAGACACTATGGAAGCTTTGCGAGATAATGCACAGATATTGTTATGAACATTTTCAATAAAGGTTCTTTAGTCAAGGGAAGGGCACTCGGCGATCTGATGAAGCATAAGTGTTTTGTGACCTGCTCCCTTGTCGAAACTCCTCCAGACCTCATATCCCCCCCCCAGACCCCTACGAGACAACACCTGGTCGCCACACAAGCAAAAGCCCGGGAAAAATCTCCCGCCATGAAGCTGGAATAACGCGCCATTTCCCTTGTTCGGCTCAGAAAGGGCGCGAATTTCCATGCTTTTCCGCGCGAAAAGTCCAAGAATTGAAAATTGTTTTTCTTTCATTGAAAATTCAAATCTTACGGTGACCGTTAATATGAATGAACAGTGAAGCAGTTTTCTTTTTACACGGCGTTTCCATATCTTCGTCATTACAGCTGTTCTAAACATATAACAGGCTTATATAATTATTTAGGCACCTAACTATCTAACACGTACAGTCTGTTAAATCTATCTATCTATCTATCTATCTATCTATCTATCTATCTATCTATCTATCTATCTATCTATTTCAGTCTGTTCAGTATCTATCTATCTATCTATCTATCTATCTATCTATCTATTTATGTTTATTCATATCTATCTATCTATCTCATTCTATTGATATCTATATCTGTCTGTGTGTGTCTCTCTATTCATCTAATTCTGTTCCTATCTATCTATCTATCTATCTATCTATCTATCTATCTATCTCTGTTTATTCATATCTATCTATCTATCTATCTATCTATCTATCTATCTATCTATCTCATTCTATTTATATCTATATATCTGTCTGTGTGTGTCTCTCTCTCTATTCATCTCATTCTGTTCCTATCTATCTATCTATCTCTGTTTATTCATATCTATCTATCTATCTATCTATCTATCTATCTATCTATCTATCTATCTATCTATCTATCTCTGTTTATTCATATCTATCTATCTATCTATCTATCTATCTATCTATCTATCTATCTCTGTTTATTCATATCTATCTATCTATCTATCTATCTATCTATCTATCTATCTATCTATCATTCTATTTATATCTATATATCTGTTATTCATTCATCTCATTCTGTTCTATCTATCTATCTATCTATCTATCTATCTATCTATCTATCTATCTATCTATCTCTGTTTATTCATATCTATCTATCTATCTATCTATCTATCTATCTATCTATCTATCTATTAGTCTGA